TTTATTCATCTTACTCGTGTTGTGCCAAACCAGCACACCACATTCTGGTTGGACTGCATAGTTGCAACTCGCTATGGAGTCATGTTGCAATTTTCAAGCATGAAAGAGGTGCTTGATAGTAATAAAAATGATACAGCATAGGTCTGATCCTGAACTGGGATAGGAATTACCCTGACGTAGAAACTCTGGTTTCTGGTGTAGGAAGGTTTCAGAGATGAGCCGCCAACAACGAAATTGTGTCAACGCTCAAAAAAGGACTTAAAGGAGCTTGTTCCAGACTAGATGAGTCTTTGCTCTGCTCTAGCAGGGCTATTCTTATGTTTTTAAGCGGAGGCTGTAAAATACACTTATATGTAAATAAAAGGCAACCCTTTTGGAGCAATAATACTAATCATAATCATAATTTATTATTTATACCCCACTCATTTGACTGGGTTTCCCCAGCCATTCTGGGCGGCTCCCAACAAGAAATTAAAAATACATTAAAACATCAGTCATTAAAAACTTCCCCAAACAGGGCTGCCTAGATGTTTTCTAAACATCAGATAGTTGTTAATTTCTTTGACATCTGATGGGAGGGCGTTCCACAGGGTGGGTGCCACTACCGAGAAGGCCCTCTGCCTGGTTCCCTGTAACTTTGCTTCTCGCAGAGAGGAAACAGCTAGAAGGCCCTCAGAGCTGGACCTCAAAGGAGGAATAGGATGGGGAGAATTAAAGGAGAATAGGATGGGTCTTGATCGTCTGGAATGCACTACTGCAAAAGCACCACTCAGAATGCATTCAGACCAGGCATAGACAAACTCGGCCCTCCAGATGTTTTGGGACTACAACTCCCATCATCCCTGACCACTGGTCCTGTTAACTAGGGATCATGGGAGTTGTAGTGCCAAAACATCTGGAGGGCTAAGTTTGCCTATGCCTGATTCAGACATTGCGATTATTGTGTTTGTTTTCCTGGTTAGAGTGCTGCTGCTTCTCTCCTGGTTTCTATAATTCTGTTTACACAGGAATTCCTGCTGCATTATGGAACTGCGGCTTTTTGATCAATATGCCACCATGTTGCCATAAAATTCATTCCAAGTGAAAATTCATTCTACCCCACCTGGTGGGCTTGCTGTGATGCAGCAGCAGGCATCAGTGGGCATCAATCTCCACCGTTCTGTGCCTCCATGAATCACCCACAGGAAATATCTGTATGCTGGAATACCATCCTAAATTTTGTCGCATGGCGAGGTCCATAAAAGCAGTGGGAAAATTGCGACACAAAACTCCCACGATTTTCCAGGTTAACCAAGTTGCAAACTCCCCCTGCCCTTCCCCTTAATATGCATATGAGCACTAAACTTCACTAGTCTTTGTGTTGTGTGAAAAATCACATTGAACACAGAAGTTAGGTTAGGAAATTGTCGTGAAAATGGAATCGAGTGCTGCCTCAATGCACAGCTATGGTGTTGCCTATATGTTGGTTGCATTGATCAGTCCCAGTTTATTGAGAACAACAACAACAGCAAAAGGGTTGCTCCAATGGAATTTACCGTATTTTTTGCTGTATAAGACTCACTTTTTCCCTCCTAAAAAGTAAGGGGAAATGTGTGTGCATCTTATGGAGCGAATGCAGGCTGCGCAGCTATCCCAGAAGCCAGAACAGCAAGAGGGATCGCTTCTTTCACTGCGCAGCGATCCCTCTTGCTGTTCTGGCTTCTGAGATTCAGATTTATTTTTTCTTGTTTTCCTCCTCCAAAAACTAGGTGCGTCTTGTGGTCTGGTGCGTCTTATAGAGCGAAAAATACGGTAAATTCATCTTTGCAGATTTTCAGCAATAATGCTTGCTGGATCATGTCCTTCTACGAAGGAAGGCAAGTGAGGAATGTCATTAGACAGGTTCCCCTTGCAAGTGGCAGCTGTTCTGTGGTCCTCTGCTGGCACACGGCAGCTGCAAGTCTTTTTCAACCGGGCACTTAAGCCAGGAACACACTTGCTTGAGGCATTCAGACCATAGTCCCATGCAGATGGTGTGTTCCAGAGAAACTGGTCCTCCGTGCTTCTATTCACGGCTGTTTAATTTCAGTTTTGTGCTCCTGAAATTCAGCAGGGCTGGAGTTCTGCAGCAGTGAAGCGGCACAGCCACAAATCAGTCCCTGCCAGATTTTGCTTTCGTCAAAGATAGCCGTCTCATCAACGTCAAAATTTAATGGCGACCCAGTACCCTGCCGAGATTTTGCAGACACCTAAAATGAATAAAGGGACGCAGGTGGCGCTGTGGGTTAAACCACAGAGCCTAGGACTTGCCAATCAGAAGGTCGGCGGTTTGAATCCCCGCGACGGGGTGAGCTCCCGTTGCTTGGTTCCTGCTCCTGCCCACCTAGCAGTTTGAAAGCACATCAAGTGTAAGTAGATAAATAGGTACCGCTCCAGCGGGAAGGTAAATGGCGTTTCCGTGCGCTGCTCTGGTTCGCCAGAAGCGGCTTAGTCATGCTGGCCACATGACCCGGAAGCTGTACGCCGGCTCCCTCGGCCAATAAAGCGAGATGAGTGCTGCAACCCCAGAGTCGGCCACAACTGGACCTAATGGTCAGGGGTCCCTTTACCCTTTACCTTTAAAATGAATAAAGTTCACTGTGACTGTAACTTCTCTTCCTTGTGCATACAAAGTGCACTGTTTCATTTAACCCAACTGTGAGGAAGCTTTGGCTCTTTCAGATGATGCTGAAGTACAACATCCATCAGTCCATGTTGAACTCCCCCCTGGAAAAAAGGACCTTTTCGCAATGCAGATTGAAGGCATGGGTACCCTGATCTGGATTGCGACTGCAGTGGGATTGGGGGGGGGGGTGGAGAGCAAAGTTTTAAAGATGCCACGCAATCAGCTTCCAGAATTTGTTCGGGGAAATCATGACTGTATCATAGTTCTTTAAAAGCATAGTGGACATGCGGGTGGTGCTGTGGTCTAAACCACTGAGCCTCTTGGGCTTGCTGATCAAAAGTCGGCTGTTCAAATCCATGTGATGGGGTGAGCTCTGTTCGTTGCTCTGTCCCAACTCCTGTCAACCTAGCAGTTCGAAAGCACACCAGTGCAAGTAGACAAATAGGTACTGCTGTGGCAGGAAGGTAAACGGCATTTCCGTGTGCTCTGGTTTCCATCACAGTGTTCCATTGTGCCAGAAGCTGTTCAGTTCTGCTGGCCACGTGACCCGGAAAACTGTCTGTGGACAAACGCCGGCTCCCTTGGCCTGAAAGGGAGATGAGCGCCACAACCCCATAGTCACCTTTGACTCGACTTAACTGTCCAGGGGTCCTTTACCTTTAACTTTTTACCTTTTGTTATATATGCATGCCATATAAACTTCAGCAGGAATGACTTTTACACAATGGACATGATCCTGCTCAATTAAGCCCTTTTAAAAGTCCTGTTGGTTTCAGTTGGAGAGTTCAGCCTGTGTTTAACCTTCCGGTCAAAATCACCCAGGCTGTATAGGACTGGAATGTTTGGCACTGGGATGCCAAATGCACACTTAAAATTAAACACAGGCTTAAGTGCTGAATCATCTCTTAAGAATGGACATGTCTTTGTACAGACCTGTGCACCTTCCATTATAATATTTGTGAAGGGTTTCTCTGTTGATCATTGTTTCTTCCTGCTAAACAGGACTCTGCAAGTCGTTCCAAGATTCCACCCTTTTAATGAAAATCAAGAGAGTAAAACACTGGCTGTGAAACTGCATGGTGCAATATCGCAGTGGGGAAATATTTTGGGGATGGCTAAGGGTGTGGCAGGAAGGCAGGCAAGGTGCAGCAACAAAAATTGAGGGGAATATGCATTTGCTCTGCCCTGGAGTTCTCACACACCACACAAATCTAGCATCAATACAGATCAACATAATCATCACTGAACTGAAATACCTCTTGGCCATATTTAACACCAAGGAATGAGCCCCCAAAACATCAGTGTGTTTTTCAGGGTTGCCATAGGTCTGGTTTTTCCTGGACAGGTCCGGAATACTGCAGTCAGCAGCAGTGTCCGGGCAGAAATCAGGAAAATTTCCGGGACAATCTGGACATATGGCAGTCCATATTGGCAGTACTGTTTTTTGCCATTTCCCCATAAAAATAGCTCAAAACGGGCTGTTTTTAAAAGCAATTTTGCCTCCCCCCCAAAAAAAACTGCCCAACAACTTTGGGCAAAACTAATAAAAGCTCAAAAACTTTGGCCCAAAAAAACCACACACAAAAACACAGCTCAACAACTTTTCTGTCCAGATTTTCGCTGTTTGAAATATGGCAACTCTAGTGTTTTTGAGCTTGAACACATATTGCAGGGGTACCATATGTAGTTCTGCCAGTGCTGCCCTCCAGTTGTTCTGGACTACAGCTCCCATCAGCCTCTGCCAACATGGCTAATGGTCAGGGTTGATGGGAGTTGTAGTCTACAAGTCTACAACATTTGGAAGACACCATGTTGACTACCTTTATGTACTGAGTAGAAGATACTCCACAAAACAATTGCATCTAAACTTCTTTGCCTAGGGCATTGTGGAGGATGCTGTTTCACTGTTATTTGCTCAAAAAGAAAAAGAAAACAGGGAGGAGGAGGAGGAGGAGAAAGAAGCTGTGCCAATTCTTCCATTAGCCCAGGGACACTTTTGGAGAGTTTCTCATTTTCCTGCAGAAATTTGGTGAAATGGCCCCTCCAGTTCCTCTGCCCACAAATAGGATACGAATTTTGAGAGCCCATTCACTCGCCAGTGTGGTGTAGTGGTTAAGAGCAGTAGTCTCGTAACCTGGGGAACTGGGTTCGCATCTCCGCTCCTCCACTTGCAGCTGCTGGGTGACCTTGGGCCAGTCACACTTCTTTGAAGTCTCTCAGCCCCACTCACCTCACAGAGTGTTTGTTGTGGGGGAGGAAGGGAAAGGAGATTGTTAGCCGCTTTGAGACTCCTTAAAGGGAGTGAAAGGCGGGATATCAAATCCAAACTCTTCTTCTTCTTCTTCTTCTGCTGTTTGTGAATGACTGTATTTCATTGGTATTGTTGCAGAAATGAGGCGTGTGATTCACTGGAACCAAAGGCTCTGTGCAAAACTGAAGAGCCTTCACCCTTGTTCTTACTCTGCCCCAAAACTGACAGCTGATGCTTTTGACGAAAGAGGCAGCTCCTGCGTTTGAGGAACAAAGTGTGCAGCTATATCCGAAGCTTTTCATGTTGGTGAACGCATCAGAGAGAGCTTCCAATATTTGGATGGTAAAGGCCTTGGTTATATATCTTAGACTTGCTCCATGATCCTCTAGGGATTTACCTTTGGCTTCACTGCTCTTGGTTATATGACACGTGAAAGTAGCCCAAGGCAGAAATCTTATGCACAACTTACAAAAGCAGCTCTCGGATTTTCTGCTGAGCAAACATGCTTCAGATCCAGTTGCAATAGGCATGGACAACTCAGTATCCAAAGACGATGTATTAATTTCTCTCCCTCTTGTGTTTTCTTGGTGCATCATAATGGGGTCCTTCTGATTAAAGGACAACTAGACTTGGACAGTACTTGGTCCTTTGCTATTTTGTCATTTTTGCAAGCCGTGGAGCCGTTCCTGTCTTCTCTTTCATCATCTCTACCTCCAGTGGTGCTAATTTGGCAGGCAGATGCCCGCTACTAGTCAACACCCATCCCAGGAAGCTCGTGACTCAGGTGATATCTCCTGAACTAACCTGTGAATCAAGTTTCTCTGCTCATTTAAACTCACAATTATTGTGATTCATTAACTAGCTCTTGGCAAAAGTCCCTAAGAAGAACAGGAAACTAATAACCCATTCCCCACCCACGAGGGTTGGAATTAGGGATGGATGAGTCTGTCAATCTTGGTTTCTCTCAGTTTCTCATTTTTCCAATCTTGATTTCTCCACATTTCCACATCTTTCTGCAGTTTTGGTTTTTTGAAGTCCTTGTGAAAATTGATCAGGGTTTAATCATGATTTTTGCCAAATACAGTGGAACCTCAGGTTACGTACTGTTCTCCTTATGAATGCTTCGAGTAACGAGCTCTGCTAACCCGGAAGTAGGTGCTCCTGGTAGCGAACTTTGCCCCGGGATGCGAGTAGAAGTTGCGTGCCAGCGGCGTGGCGGCAGCAGGAGGCCCCATTAGCGAAAGCTCGCCTCAGGTTAAGAATGGTTTCGGGTTAAGAACAGATTTCTGAAACAAATTAAGTTTGTAACCGGAGGTACTGCTGTATACATATTGTCAAAGCAATTTCCCCTAACACATTTTTTGTGTGTGTTATTTTCACCTGTATATAAATATGCACACCATTTTTTGCCAGTATATATGCATTTTTGTACACATCGCTTGGTTGGAAAACTGCGTCACAAGATTCGGAGAAGTGTGAATTTTGGGAGTGTTTCAGTTTTGCATATTGTTTTGCAAAATGCGAAGTATGTTGGTTTGCCTTGAAGTTTGAACTGAATAAAATTTCTCCTCCATCTCTAGTTGGGACAGGGAGACGAGTGGGAGGTGGGTGCCTGTTTTTTAGGTGATTGTAAGAAGAAGAAGTGGGATTACTATAGAGGACTACTTATCATGCAGTACATCATAGTGCACCATGCTATAGTCTTTATTGTGTCTTAACCTTCACAACAATTCTGTGATATAGTACATGGCATGAGAAATGAAGCCCCAGGAATAATCTCACTGACATTGCACTGAAATTTATCAGGAGCAGCCAGGCTGCTGTGTCGGAGGAAAGGTAAAGTCCTAAATATACTTACGCTGGAACCAACATGCAGGGGAATGAGTTCCAGTTGTGGTGGTAGAACAGACTGTGCTACAGCCAGTAAGGGATAACAATTTTGATTGCTTCTGTGTAGAAAAACAAAATCAATCCTGCCTCCAAACAGAAAACCAGACCTTTACTTGTTACACTGGTTCTCTATTTGCTGGAGTTTCTAAAATACAATAATTAAGAGGGGAGCAGAATTCATAAGCATTCACTCCACCACCTGCTCTCTGAAGCTGTATTCTATTCTCATTTTTCTATAGGTGTAGACCAAGCCTAAGTCCTATTGAACTCGGTGGGACATACCCCCAAGAAAAGCCGCTTAGGACTGGCCTGTAAGTATTCTGAGGATCGGTGCCATATAAGGATATGCATACGTCAAGGATGCCCTTTCTTCTATCACTTGTGGCTTTGGCACTCATTGTGTTTGCCAGTGGTTGTCTATAATCAGGCCTGTGGATGAGCTCCAGATGTTGGAAGCAAGGAGAAAGGACGAGAGGCAACAGCTTAGGATGCTGTGTCTGAAGATAATGAGGAGACCTAGCAGAAGGCCCAGATCTCAAACTTCAGTACTAAAAGATTTATTGAGTAGTAAATATCCAAATTATAGTGTCATCGTTAATGTCCCTCCAGAGTTTGTTGAACTCCAAGGGCCATCAGCCCCAGCCAACATAAGGATGAGGGGATTTGGAGTCCAACAATTTATGGAGAGCCACCAGTTCTGTATACCTGGTGTATTGGAAGCAGATTCTTCTCCTAGACTCTTAGTTCAATAGCTGACCAGCACAGGGTGATCATAGGGTGTGCCACAGATTCCCTCTGGCGCCTACTTTCTCTTCTTTGGGAATTCGCAGACAAAGTACATCGTGTGATGGCATTCCGTGTCATTCCACTGCCCGGTGCTGAGCATTTCCACGCAGTCTTCCTGCCCGGAGGTGTCCTGAGGTTCTCCTTCCTTCCAGTTGCTGTAGTTCTGCAATGGAGTACGGTCAGCATACACGAACTGCCCTTCGTTCTCCATGTCGCTCAGGCCAATGAAGACTCGGAAGAGGCCGCTTTGGGATACATAGTCAGAGATCACGGCATTGGCAGCCTCATCCTTGGGCATCGCCAGAACCCCATCTCGAATCCTGCAGTGAGTGAGCGCTTCCTTGTAGCTCTTTTCTTCCTGTACGATGTAATAGTATTTCTCCTCTGTTTCCCTGATACCTGCTAACACTTGGGGAATAAAAACAAAAAGCCTGTTTTAACAAAGCAGACTTTTTCAGGATATCCTCAAAAGCCCCGAATCATTATTGTTGTGATTTATTAAATTTCTACATGACCCTTCATCCGACGATAACAGGGAGATTTACAATGTAAAAACAAAAAGATACATATCAATCAATCAAATATTTATTATGGTCATAGACCAGCATAAGTAGGGTGGGGAACAATCATTTAAAATCTATAAAACATTTTGGAAAGCTAAAATTATTAAAACAGCAGGTATATATAAAAGACTATTAGATTCTAAAAGAGACTAAAATAATGTAAAAGAAGGGTTAGGAGCATTAAACGGATGTGGAAGAACATAAAAGGTTAGTATATGAAAGGCTATGGTATAGTAACAAACAAAAGCAATAAATTCCCACCCACAGTTTAAAAGGCCGTAAGTTGATTAATTAGCCATTACATTTTTATGTCTCCTTTCCCAAATGGCAGTTTTAGAACCAAGGAAATGAAACATACCATTTTTCACAAACTTGATGGAACTCTTGAGCCGAGCAACGTTGATGTCCAGTTGTCCAACGACTTTGCGATATTTCCCGCAGTCACAGACAGCACCTAACCCCATATAGGTATATAATCAAATAGGCTACCCAAAGCATCAAAGTGGGTAAGCGTTACATAGCTGTTTCAAACAAATATACATATGATAAAGTCAGGAAGGACCTGGGTGTGGTCTGATGCCCCACACAACTCCCGGGAAGGAGTTTTCCCCATGCAAGCTGCTCTGAAGGTTCTCGCAACCCGTTCGCCTGAGTCAGTTTGGGGTTGCAGGGGTAATGCCCAAAGGAAAGGAGGAAAACCCCTGTTGCATGACTGGAAGTCCTTGTGCTGATTTCCACTAGTGAAATGAGTTAGTTGAGTCCATCCCATGGAATTGCATTGACCATTTGCAGCACCCAAAGCATGGAGACATGTTGGCTAACCTTTAACTAAGGTTAAAGGGGACATTTGAATTATGGTGCTGGAGGAGACTCTGGAGAGTCCCATGGACTGCAAGAAGATCAAACCTCTCCATTCTTAAGGAAATCAGCCCTGAGTGGTCTCTGAAAGGACAGATCCTGAAGCTGAGGCTCCAATACTTTGGCCATCTCATGAGAAAAGAAGACTCCCTGGAAAAGACCCTGATGTTGGGAAAGATGGAGGGCACAAGAAGAAGGGGACAAGAGAGGACAAGATGGTTGGACAGTGTTCTCGAAGCTACTAGCATGAGTTTGACCAAGCTGCAGGAGGCAGTGGAAGACACGAGTGCCTGGCGAGTTCTGGTCCATGGGATCACGAATTGTCAGACACGACTAAACAACAACAACAAAGGGGACTTTTGCCATGCAAAGCCAAACTATGGCTCAGAAGCATGAATGCAGAAGCATACAGGCTCTGGGAAGGGAAATAGAGGCCGCCTCGCTCCTCCCATGCCATTTTGGTACTGTGCCGCACTGAGCTAAGCCATAGTTTGTTGTAGCATGTCGTCCATTTTCCCAGCCAAACCATGAGCTGTGAAGCAGAGGACAAAGCTTGCATTTAGAAGCAGTCTTGAGACTGGGAACCGTTATAACACAAGGTCCTCATTTGTAAGACCTCCTTCCCTACAGCCCCTCTTGGGCACTAAAATTGGCAGAAGGGGCCGTCGTGGTAGTTTCACCACACTCAGGATTTTGTGGGTGGGCGTGTCCCTGAAAAAGGCATTCCTAAATTGCAGAATTGCCTCTAGACAGGACAATGCATGTGGCATTTTCAGTGCGGAGTTTCTGTTGTATGGTGAATGTGCACCTTTTTAACCTCATCCTTTGACACCTGAAAGTCATGTTTTTGAGGATCCAGACTCATCTTGTGACTGCAAATTGTTTTAAACCCTTTTTAATATTGCATTTTTAAGTTGCTGCAACCCAATCCGGGACCTTATGGCAAAGGGCAGCTAAGAAATTGAAATAATCGTTATAATGCTTCTAAGTGTGTTCAGTCAGATGCACACGGAAGCCCCCTTTTTGTTTAACACTGGAAGGTCAGGGGTAGAATGTGCAATGGGATAATTTGGACGTAACAATCCTGGCTTATTCGGCCACTGCTTCTTAATTCAGGAATGAGCATCATGCTGGGAATGAGCCGTGACGAGGCTCCAGCTAACATGTCCACACTCTTCTCTTTTACCCACCGGGGGAGATCAGAAGCTCCTGCTTCCAGTTTTAAACAACTCATGGTTCCACAATTTGTCAGGGGACTGTGGTTTGTTTAAACTCCAGTGAGGGTGCAAACCAGACTCGGAAGCCAAAGAAGCCCTGTTCAAGTGCTCAGTCTGAAATGCGAAGGGCCCTGAGTGAATATGCAGGGCTATCTCTGCCCCTTTGGTGACACTGTCCTGAGGCTACACATGATTGGGCAAGTCTGAAGGAGGCTACCATCATGACAGAGTTATCACAAAAACCCTGACTGGCCAGAATTCCTGCCCCCATGTTGGAAAGTCTGTTTCTCCTTTCAGATTCGGCAAGCGACACACTGGATTGGGAATACTTCTAGTGTACTTGATGTCATTGAGAAGCGCAGAATTAATCACACACATTCCAATGGGCCTCTTTGCATGTTCGGAAGTGAAAGCCTGGATAGGGCTAGTTTGATTCTGGTTTGTTCTTACAAATGTTTGGACGTAACAGGAAACTGTGGCTTCCATAACAACAGCAGCAGCAAGGAAAACTTCCACTCTCCTCTGGTATGTGAAGGGGGGCGGACCTGAAGACATGATGCTCATCACAGCATGTTCACATAATGGAAAACATGCTTTCTCATTATATATGAACCAGGCCTCTGACTTGAAACACGGCAGAACATTTAACATAGGCCTGACTCCCACAGCAGCCCGGCGGCGTTAGTCAATGTTTTGGCAAAAGCATGTTTATTGCCGCTGTGTGTCCTCTGTCTTTTATAGGTTTCAACGTGATTATTTTACAGTCGTGTTTTTAATGCAAGCTGCCTCAAGCTCCTGTGGGAGTAGGGAGGATAAAAATACTTTTTTTTGTGGGCTGGGAAAATAGGCAAGCTGTTATGAAGGAAAATGCAGAAAGCGTTTTTGCTTTCTGCCACCTGCAATCTCAACCTGCGTTCTGCTGACTTTTGCTGCTCTGTCTGCTAGAGTCAGGTGAGGCTACAGGAGAGCAAGTAATTTCTTTTTTGTGGTGGTGGTGGATTTTGTCCACTGTTACTGGCCACACGCTAGAGCAGCTGTGAGAAACCTTTGCCCCTCCAGATGTTGCGGCTGAACTACAACTCCTATCAGGCTGAGCAAGCATGGCCAATGGCCAGGGATGATGGGAGTTGCAGTTCACGTCAGCAACATCTCGCGGAGGACAAAGGTTCCTCAATCCTCCTCTGCAGCAGTGTTTCCCAAGCTTGTGTCTCCAGCACTCCCATCATCCCTAGCTAGCAAGACCTGTACAGTGGTACCTCAGGTTAAGAACTTAATTCGTTCCGGAGGTCTGTTCTTAACCTGAAACTGTTCTCTTAACCTGAAGCACCACTTTAGCTAATGGGGTCTCCTGCTGCTGCTGCGCCGCCAGAGCACGATTTCTGTTCTCATCCTGAAGCAAAGTTCTTAACCCGAGGTACTATTTCTGGGTTAGCGGAGTCTGTAGCCTGAAGTGTATGTAATCCGAGGTACCACTGTAGTGATTCCCTCCCCCTCTTTCTTTTTTCTTTTCCTTTCTCCTCCTGCGATGAGGCTACATTTTAATATTTTAATGTTTCAATATTTTAATGTTGTATTTTAATTTTGTTTTTAAGTTGTATTCATTCAACTTATTTTTATTATTGCTTGTTAGCCGCCCTATTTCCGGCCTTGGCTGGGCAGGGCGGGGTATAAATAAAATATTATTATTATTATTATTATTATTATTAGTCAGGGATGATGGGAATTGTAGTCCAAAAGCAGCTGGAGACCCAAGATTGGGGAACACTGCTGTAGAGTTTTTGGTACTGACGACTCTTTGGTAACTGTCCTCTCTTGCAGCTGCTTTGTCTAGTGGGCTTCTGTCATCTTGCAGCTTGGGCCTATTAGCACACTGTAATTTCAAATACACACAGTTTATCACAGCCATGCATTCGGGTTGAACACTTGTTGCAAAATGCTGAGGGCTGTTTCGCTGGACTGCTTTAGTCCTCAGCACGTGCTTCAGCTGGGCTGGCAAGAAGCACCCAAAATATTCAACCTTGCAAACTGGCCTTGGATTCTGTTTGGGCCTGGCAAAAAAAAAGGCCAAAACGAAAACACCCGGGCAACCTGTACTCCTGAACTCTTTCTAATTCCCCTGTTGAAAGGAGAGGGATTAGAGTTACGTTACGCAAGATCTTTCCTTTGTTTGTATAGTACTCTCTCTGCTTTAGGGAGAATGTCAATATGTGCTTTAAAAAATAATTTGGTGCCCTTAAGAAGGAAAAAAACTGGATTTAGAACAGAAAAGCCCTTGTGTGACGACAACAACAACAAAAAGAGTTATGTCTTTCTTTAACAAAAGTTTTCAGTGTGTTAAGATAACAGAAATCAGGACTTAATGTGTGCCAGGTTTTAATGTTGCACCACTGACCTGGGGTTTTGTATATAACTGTTTGTTTGTTTGTTTGTTTGTTTTCTATCTCTCCTTTTTCTCTGCCTGCCTTACGCTGTCCTGAGAATTTACAGCCTGCCTTCCTGGACAGGAGGGACTCGCTTCTCTCTCTGCATGTGAAGAAAGCAAGCCTCCATCTCTTTCTGCCTGCCACCCCCCTTGGTCCTCAGACCCCTCGCTGTCACTCCGGGAAGGAACATTCCTGACAATCCCATTGCCTCTCCCTGGCCATTGCCGCTGGCCACCTCCCTTGGGCAACTTGTAGCAGTTGCTGGAGAGTGGGCAAGGAGGAGGAGGAGAGGCTGTAGCCAGTGAGGCCCAGCCCTATGACTACGAGGACCAGGCAGAGGGCAGGACTGCCCTGGGCAGGAAGAAAAGGGAGCAGAGTGGAGCGCAAGGAGTCTTGGTTTTATTTTAAAACGCTTTGTGTGTCCGCGTCTGATATTGTCTCTTTCTAAAGTTTACAGTGGTGCCTCTGGATGCAAACAGGATCCGTTCCGGAGCCCCGTTCACATCCTGAAGCGAACACAACCTGAGTCCACACGTCTGCTTGTGCATGGGTCACGATTCGCCACTTCCGCGCGACGTCATTTTGAGTGTCTGCGCATGCGTGAGCGGCGAAACCTGGAAGTATCGTGCTCCGGTACTTCCGGGTCGCCCCGAGCACAACCCGAAAATACTCATCCCGAAGCTACTTCAACCCGAGGTATGACTGTATTTGTTGGTGTGTATTTTTCAGTTGTGGGGAGGTGAGAAGTGTCTCTATTTTCATCTGAGGAATGCTGGAGGGTATGAACTCCTATCATCACTGACCATTGGCCAGGCTAACTGGGCTGATGGAAACTGGGTGGCCAGATTGGGAGAGCCACAGATTCTCCATCCCTGGCTTACACGCACCAAGGAATCACTGCCCGCAGACAGGAGCTACTTGGGAAGCCAAAAATAAATCGAAACGGCCTACCTGCTTTGCCCTTTCCTCCAGATACACCAGATAACCCCTTCAGTCCTTTGTCACCTGATTAAAGGAAGAAAACACAGGATGTACACATAAGAAAACAGAACTGCTCTGTTGAGTAATGTTTGCTGAGTGGGTTTGAGAGATGGACAGGGCTAATAATAATAATAATTTATTACTTATACTCCACCCATCTGATAGGGTTGCCCCTGCCACTCTGGGAGGCTCCCAACATAATAAAAACACAGCAAAACGTCAAACATTAAAAGCTTTCCCGATACAGGGCTAAGCGGATGTGCCAAATTAAACAGGTCTGCTTCAACCCTACCGGCCCGTTCGGATGGAAGTAAGTTCCACTGAACACAGTGAGACTTATTTCTGAGTAAACACACGTGGAATAGCTCTCTCGGGCTTTTGTTTTAGTGGACAAAGCTGCAAGCTTTTAATAGCTGACCCATTAAAAGTTCAGAGGCTTCGTGGCTGGACGGCGCCTGGTACTGCCTTCCTGCATGCGTGAGCAGCAGGTAATGGAGACAGATAATAGTTTTTCGAGGAGTTGATGGGGGTATTGTGAGAGAATCACAATTGCTTGCGATGTGCACACACACACACACAGCCCTTTCTTGGGAATCTCGCTATTGTTTCCAACTGAAGAGTTCTGAAGCATCCCGATCCAAACCCGACATGTTGCTAAATGTGTCATGACTGCAAACCACACCTGTGTTTCTTAAAATATTAATAGCAGGCACTAGTGGGAAGGTTTTTTGTTTTTGTTTTTTTGCTGGAACCTCAGTGTGTGGGATGGGGAGATTTTTTCCCCCTTGTTGCAACCTCAGGCGAAAAAAATCCTCCTCCAGTTGTTATTAGCCCTGGGGTAAAAATGTCCCACTTGCCCAATAGGAGTATCCATTTATTTATTTATTTATTTGTCATTTATTTCAGGTATTTCGAACCTGCCCTTCATCAGAACTGATCTCAGGGCAGAGTACAATGGCGTTATGCCATGAGATAAATCTCATTAAAATGATTACAAACCTGAAATATGTGAAGTGCAAAAACAGATAAAAACAGCTGTAATTAAAATCAGAAATTTTTTTTTTTAAAAAAAACAGCACCCCTACAAATCCTTGCAAACTACAAACAGGCATCCTTCATTCCTGAAACTAACAACCTATGAATACCTGGGCGAACTAATAGGCTTTCCGCTTGGTGCTGTTGACATGAAAGATGATTTAAGTGCCAAGCGTACCTCTAAAGGCGTCCCCCAAGGAAGATGGCACCACAGATGCACAGGTGTTCTGTAGGAAATTGCCCCCCACCCCAGTGCATACTATTAATTTTTTAAGAAAGACAGATGTGGTTTGTTGTACCTGCTTAGGGCCACATCTGGTTTGTCTCTGACATGGGGATTGTCAATGTGGTGCCTGGTGGTAAGAGAAAGCTCAGTAGTACCTCCTATGGTGCCTGTGAAAGCTTTCTGTAAATATTCCCTCACAAATTCACAGTGCATGAGAAACTGCTTCCTCTTCCTGCTCAGTTCTTGCCTGTAAAGGGCAAGCAGGGAGGCACATCTGGTATGCGTTACAAGAATTTTAATGTCTCAGATACAGAATAAATTTTAAGGTCTCAGACACAGAATAAATATCCATAAATGCACACATATCTAAATATATGAACCATGTGTCTGAAATAGTATGGGGGAGCAATCCTGAAGTCATTTTAACTCATTTAACCTCAAATATTCCTCTGCAATAAGGGAGGCAAATGGGGAAAGCCTTCCCATTGTCTTTTTGCTTGCAAATCCTGTCTTTAAGGGCGTATTTGTGTTCGAATAGGGTGAGCCTTTGACCTGGATTCGGGGAATGAAGTATTAACCATCACAAAAGAATGGCCAGACTGCCCAGGTAATGCAGTCAGTGACCATTTTTAGGTATCCTGGCAGGCAGGATTTCTGCTGTAGACTGCCTCCTTCTGTGATGTATGTATCATGTTTTGGGGAGTGGTCTTGGGCTACAGGGTGGACAATTTCAAAAGCTGTTCAGGGTTCTCCTCCCTCCTGCGTGTGGTGAGTGGGGACCATGTTGCAACAGTTCCCTGAATAAAGATCAGGCTTACTAGCCACTTTAATTCTCAATATACTCTGGTTGGCCTCTGTTATTTTCTCCTACCTATAGGGAACCCCCTTAAGGACTCTATAGGGGGTCTGGAATATCCCATAAGGGAAAGGGGGCAGAACACATGGAAAATGACAAAGTTCAGAAAACAGCAGGAGAACATTTCCCTCTCTCAGGACATGCCACTCGTGGCTCTAAAGTTCCCGCTCTCCAAGAGAAGAACTTCAGAGGAGTACTTCAGCTTGAGTGTGCTGAACTGGCATTGTTAGCTAGTTTGATTCTATTAATTTAGGATTCAACCAGTACCAAGAGTTTCTCTCTGACCACAGGTATTAAATTAGCACACTGAAGCTAGCAAATTGGGTCCTCCCTTAAAGAGGGCATGTATTGCGGTGAGACCTGGACAACTGACACCCTGTGTTGGGTGGGTACAATTGGTTAGCCACAGCACCTGATTGGTGGGTACAATCTGGCCAATGGGATGCAGTCTAAACGGTTCGAGGGACCTATTTATGCCCATGCACGTGACACAGAGCTGCTTCTTTCGGCGTGTGCATTCGGAACACCCACCCACCTCTCCCTATATTTAGGGCAGTGCGCTTGAGCTTGCTATGCCGTCGTGTGTCGTCTGTCATTCGGACTGGGGCACGGCAGGAATTTTCCCTGATTGGCTGGTGCCATTTGGGTTTTGCCTGCTGCGTAGCAAATCATCACAACTTGTAAGGTTGCAGATAGGCTCTGTTTCAGGTGATGGGGATGGGAGAACGCTCTCTCCATCCGTATGTGAAGGGTATTCTGTTAAAGGAATTCAGGGACTTGATAGTTTGATAAACCCCTGTGAGGGGGTTGTGCCCATGCCTGAGTCCAGGGGGACATTTGGGTGACGGAGTTAGCCTGTGCCCGGCTTTCCGCTTATCCGGGTGTTCACCCTTTGTTGACTTATGCTGGTGCCCTGAGTCAGCGCTACCTGCATGGCAGGGAGCTAGTCAAACCAGAGCCTTTTCAACCAGTCACTTTCTGTAATCAATAAAGTTGTGGCCTAAATTCTGCCAAAAACCAAACCAACATTTTGAGTCAAGTGTGAATTTATTTAGGGGGGAGGTTTCTGGGTCTGAAAACGCAAAGAGTGTGTTATTGTCAATCACTGGTGTCATGAATGGTCACTGTATGCTTGACCATTGCATAGAAATTCCAAAGAAATGAATAAATGAATTCATATAAGATGTATTTTCAAAAATTTTTAGGCAACCCTGGTAAATCTCAGGTCTTCTACTCTGCCAGTCATGGGTTGAAGGCATAAGACCTAATGTAATTCACGACTTTCTTTTTTCTTCTTTTCTTTGGCAATAAAAGCCATCTGTTTAATTTGGGAAGCGTAAATAGCAGATGTTCCACATTTTGCTCTGCGCCATCACAACACAGTCCAAAAGTATTAAAGGCAAGCCTACCCTTTCTGCCAATCGGTCCAATTTTACCCATGATCCCTTGGTCGCCGATATCGCCAACCGCTCCTTTGTCTCCTGCGAAGGAAATACAGTGACAAGTTCCCGTTTTATTCATTCTCACGCCATTTTCATATGACCTTATGTAACTAGATGACCTTACCGCCTTCTTCCGAGAGGACTTCTGTTCTTGTTAATAGCCGTGTGACAGGCAGAAATTCATCAGGGCAAATCTTTCCCCAGTGCAGTGATGGGAAAGATTTCCCTTGTTATGTTTCTGATTGTCGCTCAGAGGCCCTTTAAGGGGTGGTGGTGCCAACAACAACAACACTGTTGTTGTTTTTTTAAGAAGTGGGGACATTTAGTTTCCTCCAGCAAGCCAAGGCTTCAGCCATGACGCTGAAGCCATCTGTAGAGCTGAAGCTGTGAACATTCATGCTTTCCCTTGTTTCCCAGCCGAACAGTAGGTTTCCCATATGTTCTGAGAGCCCAATCCAACAGAGGGACTGTCTTTGATTCACCGGCACTGGAGGTTCTGAGCCGACTGGCAACAGATGGCTCTGCGCACCCGCCGCCGGCACTCTTGCAGAAGAAACAGTATGAAATTTCAAAGCTTATTTGCCAAACTAAAAGTTCCCAGTTGAGGAGCCTGGAGGCATCGTTTTTTTGTTGTTGTTGTTATGTTTTTGTTTCATAAAGCTTTTTCTTTTTCTTTTTTAAGGAAAATGCTGAAACCAGAATGTGACAGTCTTAATCCACAAGCCCCTTTAGGAATGTACCGTATTTTTTGCTCTATAAGACTCACTTTTTCCCTCCTAAAAAGTAAAGGGAAATGTGTGTGCGTCTTATGGAGCGAATGCAGGCTGCGCAGCTATCCCAGAAGCCAGAACAGCAAGAGGGATTGCTGCTTTCACTGCATAGCGATTCCTCTTGCTGTTCTGGCTTCGGAGATTCAGAATATTTTTTTTCTTGTTTTCCTCCTCCAAAAACTAGGTGCGTCTTGTGGTCTGGTGCGTCTTATAGAGCGAAAAATACGGTAATTCTCAGCGCTTACTGATTACCAGCAATGTGCTTGCCATAATGATGATGCTCAGGTTTGTGTTTGTGTTTGTGTGTAAAAGGAGCATTGATGGGTGGCGTTGGTAGTCCAAAAAGCATCTCGATGACACCAAGCTGGGAAGACTGTTATTCATGTCTCCTCGGAAGCAAACCTCATTGAGATTAAAAGAGTCTTGTGCCACCCTTTGCAAAAACTGGATAAGTGTGAATTTCAAAGGATGACTGTGTTTCTGTTCACGTATGGAGGGGGAAAGGGAGACCTTAATGCAGGGATGGTTGCTCTATGTCTTTTTAAAATATACTTTAGACCCCATGTGCACTATACAGTGGTACCTCGGGTTACAGACGCTTCAGATTACAGACTCCGCTAACCCAGAAATAGTACCTCGGGTTAAGAACTTTGCTTCAGGGTGAGAACAGAAATTATGCAGCGGCAGCGGGAGGCCCCATTAGCTAAAGTGGTACCTCAGGTTAAGAACAGTTTCAGGTAAAGAACAGACCTCTGGAACGAATTAAGTTCTTAACCCGAGGTACCACTGTATTTTAAAGTAGTATCATGCCACTTTAAACAGTTATGGCTTCTCCCCTGCAAGAATCCTGGGAACTGTAGTTTGTTCAGGGTGCTGGGAGCTGTTAGATCTCTACTACCCCTTCATAATTCCCATGGTTTCCTGAGAGGAGGGGTTGATTGCTAAATCACTCTGGGAACTATTGCTCCGTGGGGCTGGCTGGGGGAGATAGGGGTCTCCTCACAACTCTCAGCACCTTTAACAAACTACAGTTCCCAGAATTCTTGGGGGGGGGACAAGACTGTTTAAGAGCAGTATGGTACTGCTTTAAACATATAGTGCAGACGGGGCCTTAGTTTGGCTCCAAACAATTTCACAACACATGAGAGGAATGTCCCAGTGTCTTCCTTCAGCATCTCCTAAAGCTGCAAACCACGTGACTAAATGGAGCAGCCCTGTTTTTGTAGAGGCGGCAATTTAGGTTCTTTTAAGAGCCAATAAATGTGTATGGCAGGCAGCCTATCTCCCCCCACCCCACGTCAAATCCCATTTTTGCAATATGAAGCAGCGTCGCACCAGTGTTTTATTATAGCTGCGTATTGAACGTATTTTGGTCGTAAAATCTTATTGATCAAAAACCTGAAGCATTTAGGGCATTATAAATGTGTGGACAGAATTTATATGGCCATTATTTGCGCCCAACTAGCTGTCAGCATCGCCCTTGAGCCAGTGCCACCAACTGGACTCATCCACTTCAGCCCCGACTGGGCTAGGCAAGCTGGGGTAGCACTTCCAGAGACCACCTTCTGCACAGGAACAGGTCAAAGTGCTGGGGACTCACAGCTTAGAGTTGTGAGCACCGGATTCACTCCCACAAGAAGACAGTCGTCGCACAGCAGAGTACAGCAGACTCTAGCAGAGTATATAAACGACTCGGAGAGCAGCTCTGTAGAATATCTTCTTTATTCTATAACTACAACTATTATGCAACTATATACAGAGCTAAATAGGTCTAAGCATAAATGAATGCTGCACTGTCTGCAGCTGCTCTTAGCAGCAACCTTATCTCTACACACGATCTCTAACACTCAGTCTCTCTCTCTCTCTCTCCGACACTGACTGACTGACTGATTTGGTGCTGGAGCAGAATAAGTAGAGAGCAGAACATGCCTCCTCCTCTCTGGAGAATCAGCAGACTCCTCAGGAGATTATTGGATATGGGAGGGGTGAAATCTCCTCACTAGCTGTCTGAAGTACGAAGCAATTTTGCCGTGAAATTTTATGCTGAAGTCCACAGCCAGCCTACGGAGCTGGCATGGGGGCCATTGGTACAATAAATGGCCTGTTTAGCACCTTATGTTCTTTGGTCACCCTTTGCCCTATTTTATCCAACTTCCTAATACCTCAAACTGTGGCACCTCCTCCCTACACCTTGCTGCATAATGTATTTGATGGGTGCTCCCTTTCTGTATCCACTGTGGGGCATGCCAGCATGTGGCCAGCTGCTTCCTCTAAACAAACTGCTTCCTCATCCTGGTGTCCTTCAGATGTTGTTGGCCCAGTGGTGTAGCATGGATTGCCAGAGTCCGGGGCAAGACAAGCATTGCTCCCCCAGAGATCAACAGCTTCTTCTACAGAGCCAGAATCAGCTTCCATTTGCAGATATTCTGGTGTGGCAGGGACACTCATTCTCCCTTGGCACGAACTTCTCCTCCTATTCCATGTTGTCGCTGGCACTGCCAGCAGCACCAGCTGCCAAGGGGGTGACAGAGCAGGGTGGGGCTCTTCTTTACCGCCTGCTGATAGGCTGGAAGGAAGTGTCAATAGCTCGGCAACCTACCCGAGTGGCAGTCGCAGCGACCCATGAATATCAAGCACACTAGAGAGACGAATGGGGGGTTGGTCAGGAGTGGGTATCTTTCTAAAGCCCTGCAGAGGGCACCCTAGCAACTGGCTGCCACCCAAATCCATTCCTCAGTCCATCCACGCAAATATTGGGAGGTTTACTGTGTGAGGGGGAGGGTGCGCTATTTTTTTAAATATTATTTTCCCTCTTCTTTTCTCCTTTTGAAATTTTGCACCCCTAAGAATTTTGCGCCCAGGGCAACCACCCCTGTGGCCCTGCCCACACGATGCCAATAGAAGGCACCAGGATGGTGAAGGCTGCTCTCAAGTCTCAGTAGGCCCATTCAGTTTGGCCCATGGAGCTGTTCTCCACAAGCCCTGCCCACCTGCCCCACACCAAACTGACATCAGATGTGGGACAGCCATGGCTGCAAGGGAAACATCTGGGAGGCTTAAAGTGTGCTTGATTGTTCCTCAACCATCAGGGCTTGCTTTTGGTGCTGAATTTGAGCATCTCACCCGCTGAAGGAGGCCACAGAGAATTAAAAGCCAAATGGCTGGTGTAAAAGAAATGTTTTTGCTGGTGCATAATGACAGCAATGATGGCGCCGGGTTTGGGGAGAGCATTCCACAAGCAGGGAGCCACCGCTGAAAAGTCCCGTTCTGAAGTTGCGTCCTAATGCACACAGAAAAGGGCCTCAGATGATGATTGCAGGGTCAGAGCTTATTCTTTTTTCCCATTAATCCAGAGGCATTACTGAGCACTTGTGAGAGCATTCCAAAGACGGAATGAATATGGGAAGGTGGAGGGGGCAAAAGACATAACCACGCGCACCTTTACCTTTGGATCCGGTGGGGCCGAGTTTCCCATGCTTGCCCATTTCTCCTTGGTCTCCCTTTTTGCCTTCATCTCCTTCAAAAACAAACACATAGGGTGAGTGGGCAGAGAGGGAGAAAACAGACACTCTGATACAAGTCACAATGCAGGTTAAGAAAGAGTATCCTGGCCTCATTTTGAAAGGAGAAACTGCAGAGAACCACTGGCCTGCTCACCTGCCCCTCACCTGATGTCAGGTGTGATACAGGTAAAGGCATAGCTGCAAAGCAGTGGCGTAGCATGGGGGGTGCAGGGGGGCCGGCTGCACCGGGCGCAACATCTGGGGGGGCGCGCTCACCGCCTCCGGAGTCGCCGAAGAGCCTTGGGCACAGGCTGTAGCAGAGCCCCATGTCTCGCGGAACCAACGAGCTGGCAGCGGCTCTCAGCGCTCGCCGCGGTCCCCGCGCGTCAGGGCTGCGGAGGGCGCGCCAGGCAGCCCCTCCTCACAGCCCTGCCACCGCCGCCGCTGCTGCAGCTGCTGGGCCATGTTGCATTTTCCTCGCCTCTCTGCCCTCCTCCTCCTCCGGGCAAGCGGCGTCGTTTGGGCGGCAGCGCCAGCGGCAACTCGCCTCAGATCACCTGACATGGACCCGCCGCCGCCGCTGTGGCTACCTTACCGTAAATACCCCAGCCCAGGCAGCAGCAAGAAGAAGCTGGCAGCGGCGGCAGGTTAGGGGTTAGGGGGCGCAAATTACTTTCCTTGCCCCGGGTTAGGGGGCGCAAATTACTTGCCTTGCCCCGGGTGCTGACAACCCACGCTACGCCACTGCTGCAAAGGAAACAATCAGACGCCTTAGAGTGCTGTCTTAATTCTTGCATGCCAGCATACTGTTTAAGGCATAGCTATCAACTTTTCCCTTTTCTTGCGAGGAATCCTATTCAGAATAAGGGAATTTCCCTTTAAAAAAGGGGAATGTTGACAGCTATGGTTTAAGGTAGAGGATTAGGGCAAGCAGAGGAGGTGCCAACCCTGCTGGCAGTGTGTTAGCCAAGTTGTTATTGTCAGCAAAAGAAAAAAGACTAAACTATGACCACCTTGAATTGATTTTTTTGTCCCTGGAAAACTATCCTCTCCAAAGAACATTCTCTCAATACAGAGTTTGAAGATGTACCAAGAGTTGACTCTTGCTGCCCTCTCGTGGTGTCTTTTGTTGGTCTAAAACTCACCCATTTCCTTTTTCTAGAGCTGTGTAAAATTATTCTACCCAGGGGTAGATCTATTATGAACCTAACAAAGTTTAACCTTCAGGGCCTCTGATCTCAGAGGGGGCCCATAAGTGACTTTAGTCTGCCTTCAGCTTGACCTCACCCCCCAAAGGCACAGTCCTCCATTGTATTCCGAGACTGACAGAAGCCAACCACAACACTAGACCCAGTTTGAGTCGCATTGAATCGAGAGATTAATTTTTGTCTTTGTCTATATTTCAACAAAGGGACGCGGGTGGCGCTGTGGGTTAAACCACAGAGCCTAGGACTTGCCGATCGGAAGGTCGGCGGTTTGAATCCCCACGACGGGGTGAGCTCCCGTTGCTCGGTCCCTGCTCCTGCCAACCTAGCAGTTTGAAAGCACGTCAAAGTGCAAGTAGATAAATAGGTACCACTCCAGCGGGAAGGTAAACAGTGTTTCTGTGCACTACTCTGGTTCGCCAGAAGCGGCTTAGTCATGCTGGCCACATGACCCGGAAGCAGTATGCCAGCTCCCTTAGCCAATAAAGTGAGATGAGTGCTGCAACCCCAGAGTCGGTCACAATTGGACCTAATGGCCAGGGGTCCCTTTACCTTTACCTTTATATTTCAACATTCCCAAAGCTTGAGAGTCGGTAGCACAGATGTTGTAAAGGTGTGGCGATCTGTCATGGAACAACCCATTGAAGAAGATAACTGTGGTTACCCAGAACTCGTTGCTGGTTGTGAAGGGGTCCTCATAGAATTGTGGAGTTGGAAGGGACCATGAGGGTCATCTAGTCAACATGACAGTTCAAGCTTCAGGGCCCCCCAAATCTAGGTCTGCCACTGCCTGCACCCACTTTGCTGGCAGATTGGTAGCAGGAAAGTAGTAGAACTCCATTTCTCCAGGTGCATAATAAATTATCCCAATGGTGATCCTTATATCATGTCTGGTGGGGATGTGATAAAATTTTAAAAATTTGGGGAAATATACATGAGGAACTGAAAAAAATGTTCAAAACAACAATTGGTAGGAAGCTAGAAACATTCCTTTTAGGAATTATAACAAATGACATCCCCAAAGACAGGAAGAGAATCTTTTTATATGCAACAGGCGCTGCAAGGGTTATTGATTGCAAAAAAATTGGAAATCAGAAGAAGTACCAACATTGAAAGATTGGCAACATATTTTTTTTGAAATGACTGAATTAGCAAAAATGACGGCAACAATTAGAACGCAGTCTAATCAAAATCTCAAACAGGAATGGAAATGTGTAGAAGAATACATGACCAAAAGATGCTCCAACAAGAATTTATTGATATGTATAGACTGATTTCACAAAGTTAAGCTAAGCAGATATATAAGATTGAATGTTTAATTATTAAGATACAAAATTACAATCGCAGTAATAAAGTTACAAAATAATAACAAGGAAGTCACGCACGGGTGGAGGGAAGACACAGGGCAAGAAAAAAGAAATGGATAAAATGTTGATACATAATGAAATGTGAAAATGTGAATTTACGAATACATAATGTATATGTATCACTATGCAAAGATCTCATATATGTATTGCAACATTACTAATAAATAAATAGACTAAATAAATAAATTAGCCCAATGGTTTCTGAGGGCAACTGCGCTGCCAAGAGGCACACACACACACATACACCGCTCATCTCAACACCAGTATGATACTGAATACCATTTCCTGGGGCAGGAGGGACAGCGACATTGAGGGAGTACTGTTGCCTTTGTGCCTTTGGCCAACCCAAGGCATAGAGGCTGCACAGATCAGCTGTGGAGAGAGGCCACATTCTTGTGTTGTGCACTTGCGTGTGTGCTCGAGCCAAAATAAAGGTTAGCCTTCATTACCTGCTCTTGGGGCTTCCGTAGTTGAAGGCAGACCCAGACCGAAGCCACAAAGATCACCAGCGTGACTTTGGGCCCGCACTCTTTCTCCCTCAGCCTAACCTACCGACCTCACAGGATTGTTGTGAGGATAAAGTGCAGGGAGGGGCGGACTTCAGCGCCTTGCACCTGCACCAGAGGGTCTCAAGCTATCATCTGTAGAACATAGGTGGCCTGGAAGTCCCATTCTGGTGGCATGTGGAAGGGTAGTCAAAGGGTTGAGAATAACCTGTCCTTGGCTCTGAAGCTGATTTTGTTTTTTCCTGACTCAAAAAGTTGATTTCACAGGCATCCTTGTTACAAGACGACTGTTATTAAAATATTAGTAGGAAGCTGTCTTATCAGAGCGTTGGTTGATCTAGCCTGGTGTTGACTACACTGCCTGGCAGAGACTCTCCAGGGTTTCAGACTGAGGAATATTCCCAGCTCTAGGTGCTGGTTTTGATTTTTAAAGCCCTTTGTGGCTTAGGGCCCTCGTATTTACAGGACCGCCTCTCCTGGTATGCCCCGCAGAGGATCTTAAGGTCCATGAATAATCATAGTTTAGAGGTCCCGGGCCCTAAGGAAGTCAGATCATCCTCCACCAGGGCCAGGGCCTTCTCAGTGATGGCTCCGACCTGGTGGAATGCTCTGTCCCATGAGACCAGGGCCCTGCAGGATTTAACTTCCTTCCGCAGCGCCTGTAAGACAGAGCTATTCCGCCTGGCTTTCAACTTGAACTTGGCCTGATCTTTTATTCCCCTTCCTTCCCTCCCTCTCCCCTTTTTATGAAGATTACCCGCTCTGGGATCCCACAGCTAATTCTCTCCTGGTCTCCTTGCTGGCCCAAACAGGACTAATTTAGCCAGCTAGCCCTGGTGATCATCTAATGTTTATTGGATGGATTTTCCACCTAAAGTGATTTTTGAATTCTGAATTTATTGTTATTCACATTTTATGCTGTATTTTATGCTGTTTTTTGTTGCATCAATTAAGTGTTTTAAATTTGTTATTAGCCGCCCTGAGCCCAGTTTTTGAACCGCAAAGGGCGGGGTACAAATAATTTTTTTTTATAATTTATTATTATTATTACGTAGCAATACCAGAGATTGAACCCAGGACCTTGTGTGTGCAAGCCAGATACTCTTCCACTGCAGGTTGCAGAATGTGGCTTTTCTCGTTGCAGAATTTGGCACGGAATTCGGATTTTTAATTAAATATTATTTAATCATTTTTAGCACAGAGAACACATAGGTCAGAAGAGAAGGGAGTGATGACAGAGACCACAGGAACAAGGGTCCGGCCAGCCTGGAGGATGTGGGGTGAGGTCCTTCTGCACTTCCAACGGAGCTCAGAACGTGGAAAACTCCTCTTCAGACTGAGCTCGCCCTTTTCCAGAAGCAGAACTGTGCAAGTGCCACTATTAGGTCTGGAAGATGGTCAGCAGCAGCAGCGGTGACCACAAGAAGCAGGGCTTGGAGGCACTGACTGATGTCAAGGAGTTTATAATTGACATTTGTCAAAATAATGAAAGGGGAGCATTCCAAAACACACCACACAGCTGCAGGGTGAACTCCCATTATTCCCCTTCAAATTGCCTTCCATTCCAGTTACTGAACACATAGGACCCAATTCAGATTCCTTTGAAGTTCTCAGCAACAAGCCTGCCAACCTTGGCTGAGGTCACCCATTCCTTTTCTTTTCGACGCGGTCAACCGATTGTGCAATTACTTCAATATGTTTCCAGAGTCGCACCTCTCCTACGTCCTCAGGAGAGTTTGACGAGGACGCAGCATGTTGCACTTTGGATAGTGCTTGAAACAGCAACACGACTCCTTCAACACATTCTAGGCGTGTCGCCGTGCTGGTTCGTTACAGACAACGCTGCGAGGAGTCGTGAGGCACCATTAAAAATGGAGGCAGATATTGTGGCGAATGTGCTTTGGGTGATGCCATGCATTTGTCAAAAGAGGACTGTGCTGGTCCCGGGGGGTTACTGTGCGGCGAGGTCCGTGTCCAGTCCGGGGTTGAGGGTGTGGTGTGTAGGCTTTCCATCAAGGCTGAAGCGGGGTCCAAGGTAAGGAGTCAGGTGTGGTCAGGAGCTCTGGCAGAAGAGCAGGACAGGGTGCCAGCAGGAACAGGTTACCAACAATGTTGCTCCCACAACCTGGGACTGGGCTGGCTGGCTTTTATCTGCCCTGAGGCATAGGGTGGCCCCGGTCCACAGGTGACTCACCTCTCCTGGCCTCAAGGCGAGCACTCCTCCTGAGAGAACTTAGTTCCCTCCGCCTCTCTGCCCTGAGCCTCTGCAGCTCAGGCGAGGCTGGAGGGTTACTGGACCCAGAGGCAACCTCAGCTTCCCCTGACAGGGCTGGGAGAGGAGCACCTGCAGGCAATGGGTCCTGGATCACCTCCGGAGCCAGAGCAGATTCAGCTGGTGTCTGCTCCTGAGGATCCAGCACAGGCGAGGGCCCTTCAGGTTCAAGCCCCAGCCCCGGCTCAGCTGGTCCTGGAGGCGGGGACTCCTGTGCAGGCAGGGATTCCTCAGGTTCAACCTCTTAATCCAATTCCAATTCCCAGGTCATCACAGGGGCTCTGGCTTGTGAAATAAATTGATTATAGTCTTTTGAGGATGCCGTATGAATGTAAGAAAAGCCTTTCCGGATGAGACCAAAAGCCCATCTTGTCCAGCATCCTGTTTCACACAATGGGCAATTGTTTATTCCATATGATGATGATGATGATGATGATGATGATTTTATTTTACTTGTACTTCGCTCATCTGACTGGGTTGTCCCAACCACTCTGGCTGGCTTTCAACTTATATAAAAGCAGAATAAAACAACAAACATTAAAAACTTCCCTATACAGGGCTGCCTTCAGGTGTCTTCTAAAAACAACTGGTGAACTCCTTTTACCGGCCCACAATAGAAAGTGTCTTTTCATATTGTATCACAGTGTGGTATGCTGGCCTGAAAGCCATGGACAGAAAGTCTCTACAGAGGATGGTGAATACAGCACATGATATCATGGGCTGTCCCTTGAGTCCGCTAGATGACATCGCAAGGGGTCGTTGCCTTAGGAGAGCGAGAAAAATTTTCAGGGATGACTCACACCCAGGTCATCACCTCTTTAATCTTCTACCCTCGGGCAGGAGATATAGAAGTACAATCAGCCGTACCAACAGGCAAAAAAATAGCTTCTATCCGTGGGCTGTTAGGCTGTTGAATGAAAAATAACATAGCGAAATTGACTTGCGAGGTGGTGTGTTGTTTCATAAGAGATTGAGTGCTTGGGGAGGGAGGGAGTCTCGTTTAATTTCATTGTACACAGGTTGTGTGGGAGGGTGGGGGGAGGGAGGAAAAATGAGGAAAAAAACTAGGATGATATGTTTCTGGATAATATGTTTGCCTCGCCAGAGTGGTGCATGCTCTGGTTATCTCCCGCTTGGATTACTGCAATGCGCTCTACGTGGGGCTACCTTTGAAGGTGACCCGGAAACTACAACTAATCCAGAACGCGGCAGCTAGACTGGTGACTGGGAGCGGCCGCAGAGACCACATAACACCGGTCTTGAAAGACCTACATTGGCTCCCAGTACGTTTCCGAGCACAATTCAAAGTGTTGGTGCTGACCTTTAAAGCCCTAAACGGCCTTGGTCCAGTATATCTGAAGGAGCGTCTCCTCCCCCATCGTTCTACCCGGACACTGAGGTCCAGCACTGAGGGCCTTCTGGCGGTTCCCTCACTGCGAGAAGCCAAGTTACAGGGAACCAGGCAGAGGGCCTTCTCGGTAGTGGCGCCTTCCCTGTGGAACACCCTCCCACCAGATGTCAAAGAGAACAACAACTACCAGGCTTTTAGAAGACATCTGAAGGCAGCCCTGTTTCGGGAAGCTTTTAATGTTTGATGTATTATAGTATTTTAATATTCTTTTGGAAGCCGCCCAGAGTGGCCGGGGAAGCCCAGCCAGATGGGCGGGGTATAAATAATAAATTATTATTATTATTATTATTATTATTTTAATTTTGGAATAAAAAAAGTTTTTTTTTAAAAAAAAGTTTGACGCCATGCAAGGCAGCTTGGTGTGTTCATATGAATGAATCTTGTATGTGAGGCTACCCGCAGTTTGGAGTTGAGGGTGAGTGAGATCAAGGAAGCAAGATGGGATGAAAGGGTTAACCGACTCTCCTGCAGCTGCTTTTAGGTGAAAAAAACGAGACCTGGATCTCTTCTGGCTTGATCCTTAATGTGTTAATAATCTCCCAAGTGCTTCTCAGTGGATGAAGTACAATTCTTCACTCATTTCTCCATGCTCATAGCATTCCTGAGAATTAGGCTAAGACAATGGAGGTCACCAGACCACCAGTGGCCTGCAAACTTTATTCAGGTGCTCTGGACCCCTGACCATTAGGTCCATTCGTGGCTGACTCTGGGGTTGCGGCGCTCATCTCGCTTTATTGGCCGAGGGAACCAGTGTACAGCTTCCGGGTCATGTGGCCAACATGACTAAGCCGCTTCTGGCGAACCAGAGCAGCACACGGAAACGCCGTTTACCTTCCCGCCGGAGCGGTACCTATTTATCTACTTGCACTTTGACGTGCTTTCGAACTGCTAGGTTGGCAGGAGCAGGAACTGAGCAACGGGAGCTCACCCCGTTGCGGGGATTCGAACCGCCAACCTTCTGATCGGCAAGTCCTAGGCTTTGTGGTTTAACCCACAGCGCCACCTGTGTCCTCTGCAGCATACCTGCATTAAATACCCGAGCTTCCTTTATGGCTAATGTACAAAAGACACATCAAACCAGCGGAACCCATCTTATTAGAGTCTCAGTCATTTTGTTTCTTTGATAAAGAATTTAATCGTTTCACAATTATTGTATGAGCCTGGAAAAAAGCTGCAGAGGCCAAGGCTGGTCTTGCCTGCAGGAAGTGAGAGTAGCACATTTAATATTGAAACAGGGCTGTTGATATGAAGGTCTGCAGTACAGGTATCTCTCGTGGCCACCTGGGGGCAGCCTTGAATATCTATTAAGCAAGGGGTTTCATCAGTCCTTTTTATTAGGCACTTTTTAATTCCAACCATATCTTCTCAGAAGCGAGTCCTATTTGATTCAGTGCTGCTCACTCCCAGGTTAGTGTGCCTGAGCCATTTGCTCTTATCAAGGGCTGACTTTTAAAGCCAGCTTGGGCCACTGAGATTATCAGGCCTGCCCTGAGTAATCCTTGCAGTGTATTTTTAGCCCACTGACTTTTATCACAACCGTAACTTCTGGATGAACACACAGAACTGAGGAGGAAATGCACCCTGTTTAGCAGTTTGCAGGGTGCTTTGCAGAATAAAAACGTAAGCAAAAGGCAGGTCCCCTGCCCCAAGGAGCTTACAATCAGAAACTTGCGGGGAAGATGCTGTTCAGCGTCTGAGGTCTTGTGCTCCTCTTGGGGTGGCATGGAACCTGGAGCACTTACGGGAAATGGGAAGGAAATTCTAGTTTTGGTATTGTATCTCGGTCTTCACGAGACTTTGGTTGCATTTATGTTGTATTTATGCATACACTTACCGGATTTTAAAATGCGAAGCGGTTTAAAAATAATAAGCAAATAAATAAATAAAAGTATGAGGGTTCCATGTGTACCACAGTGAGACAGACTAAGGGAGCGCTCCTACTCATGAGGAGTTGGCGTTAAGCAAGTAAGCCGGGATAAAGTTGTGCCAGATCCAAACCCCATTCAGGAGCAAGACTGCTGCTGGCTAAGCAGTTCCAAGCCTCTCAGAACGAAAACAAGTCTTTAAAATAGAGTTTGGCTGTAAAAACACCCTATTTGCCAGGTCATGTGACTGAGCTGAACAGAGTTAGGATCCTGCATAAGCCCCACTGCTTGGTTTTGATACTGACATATTCCCAGAATGGTCCTTTCTTTGCCAAGACAACAAAGCTGTGCTGGTGTATCTCTGGGACTGCTCTTCCTATCCAGAAATTTCTCCTCTTCTTGTTCAACTGAAAACGATCCCTTTGATCTAACCCTGCCCTGTGGGGCAACAGTGAGCACATGTCTTTGCCCTCTTATTTTTTTTATCTACACAACGGCCTTGTGAGGTAGTCCAAGCTGGGGCAGACTGATTCATGGGGTTCCCCAACAAGCGGCGTAACTGGGCAGGGATTTCCAACCTCAATGTTTCATATGCTAACCAAACAGCCACTGCCACCACTGTGCTGCCACCACTAGCTTTTTTTATACGGTGGAAGCGAAATCATAATCATAGAACACTGCTGGAACTGAGGCAATGTGGGAAAAAGAATAGTTGTCTCTCTCCTCCAATTGGGTTGGCAGGATAATTAACTACGGACCCCAGAATTTCGGGTCCCCTCCAAACCTGTACCAAAGTTTTGCAGTTGTTTTGCAGCATTAAAAAACCCATGTTTCACAGCACCCCACAAAATGGGTGATTGATACATCAAACACAGGGTTTGTAGTTAACACCATCCGTGTCCAAATCACTCCAAACCAGTGCCAACAGTTTTGCAGCAAAAGTCCCATATTTTGCAGCACACCACAAACTGAGTAACTGCTCCTCAAACCAGGGGCATAGCCCTGGCTTTAATTCAAGTTAAAATATTTCCAACTACAGGGGGCAGGGAGGTGCTTAACCCTTTATAACCCAAACAAACACTACATATTTCTTCTGCTCCATTATAATTTACAGTACTTTACTTTTCCCCAACCAGATGATTAGATCAGGGATGGGGAACTGTTGTCCCTCCAGATATTGCTGGACTCCAACTCCCATCAGCCCCAGCTAGCATGACCAGTAATCTGAGATGATGGGAGTTGTAGTCGAGCGAGAAAACAGAACAAGACTGGAGGGCCACCTGCTTCCCACCCCTGGTTTACATAATGAAACACTGATTAAGCATTGTACAACTGACATTTGATTTATTCTTCCACAACAGGCATTGTCTATCAGATTAAAATGCAATTAAGTTTCCCGCCTGCTCTGTGAAGGATTGCCAACTGACTAGCAAAATGCCTGAGCTTGGACCTTCAGCGGCACCAAATCTGATGCAGCAAAAAAAAATATAAGCTCTCACCATGATTAGCTGCAGAAACCTGCAAGGTTTTCTGCTCTTAAAGGCACAGTTGCAGAAGCAGCCAAAAAGTTGGCAACCTTCCTTCCCCAATCCTATGTGACACAAGAGCTGGGGGGAGAATCATAAGCAGTGTGTTGGTTTCCCCTGAAGCACACACTACTGTGTCTCTTCAGCAACAGCAAAGATGTTTAGCACACAGAAGGCTCACCTTTCGGTCCTGGTAGAATGGTATGAGTGGAACAGATCTCCGTCGCTGACCGGTTGTCGTCATCCAAACCAAAAATCTGCGCTAGGAGGACAAGAAAAAGCAACAGGGAGGTTTCGTGTTTCCAAAGTTGGTTCTTCATGCTGCTTGCGCCGTTCAGCTCCACAGGAAATGCCCTTCCTCGTTCCAGCCTTAATAATTGCTAAAATAAGATTTCCCATATAACTCTGGAAAGCAAGCTCAATTGAAGATCCCGCTTGATTAGAGCTAAATAGAGAAAGACCATCAAGAGGCCCTGTGTGGGGTGTGTGTCTGTGTGTGTGTGTTAGCATACACTGTGCAATATATTTATGCAGCAGTGACAGTTGTTTATTAAAGTTTATCTCTTGGCTGTGAAATAATTAAGTGCACTGGCCGGAGGAGATGTCTTGAATGCACAAGCCGGCCTCTGTATTTGCCTGCTGGAATCTGAGAGCTGATTTCTTATGTTCCTCAGAGAAATATAATAGAAAAGGCATTAAGGCAGCCATTCTAAAGACACTGCCTGGAGAGTAATCCCTGTTGGAGATAATGGGACTCCAGGATGTGTAAACACACCTTGCACTCTAAGGCTGACACGGCCGTCTCTACCATTGGACGGAGAGAGACATGGGCACTTCAGAAAAAAGGATGCTGGGGAGTCAGGGAGCAGAATGAGGTGTTGGAGGACAGAGCTGCCTATGCCATTGCCTGCTAAGGTGACCTGCGCCTCTCAAGTGCAGTGGAAGTCCCATTGCCATTCTGCCACATCTGTGCATAGAATGTGAGAAAGGCAGTGCCATCTTGCTCTCTGCCCTGGGCTGCAAAATGGCTTGGACTGGTTCTCAGGGGACTCAGCTACATTAGTTAAAAAACGACGTTTTGAATTCGTTATAAACATGCAACAAAAAATTCTATGCGATATTTTCATAGTGTTTTCTGTCCCTTTGTTATAACGATTTGATTTCTGACTTATTTATAGCATTTCCCCCCCTGTGTGTAGATCCACCCAGGAAGCCCTGCTGAACTCAGACCACATCTGCACGATACGTTTTAAGCAATATTTTTGGGGGTCTTGTCATCTGGGCAGCTCAGGACCTCCATACACACTACCCAGGTTGCGCCCCAGGGAGGTGCTGGTAACACAGCAGTTTGCCTTCACCCCCAGATGCACATTCCATTGCCTCTTGAGACAGATGGATGCCGACAACAACACTTTAATAGTCATGGCTTCCACTGAAGAATCCTGGGAGTTGTAGATTGCTAAGCATGCTGGGAGTTGTTAGGAGACCCCTGTTCCCCTCACAGAGTTGCATTTCACAAGCCCTCTAGCCAGGAGATTCTGGGAAGTGTAGCTCTGTGAGGGCAATGGGGAGGGTCTCTTAACAGCTCTCAACACCATTAACAAACTGCTGTTCCCAGGGTGCCTTGGGGGAAGCCATGACTGTTCAAAGTGGTATTATAAATAGTGTTGCTAGGGACTCAATAATATAATTAGTTCCTTGTTCACAGGACCAGCATACAAATAAGCAGAGTGTGGCGGCTGCTTCAGGCAGCAGATATTGGTGGTCATGACAGGGTATCAAACTGTTGGTCATTTAATTCATGGATATATAATTTATATTGCCTGAGAAGTGAGGGGAGGCTCTTCTGCGATTTTGTGCCTCAGCTGCCAAAATAACTTGACCAGCCTTGGGTGTGATGCCCCCTTAATGCATGTTTCCATTTGCTGCTGTTCCTCAGACAGCAAAATGTCTTGAGCCAGCCCTGCCTGTTCACATTTCCTCCGTAATTCTGCTTGTGGGCTATTTTCTCCTTTAGAAGCATAAAATGGAGACTCCGTAGGCACACAGTCCAACCAAATAAGGACCAATGGAGCTGTGATGTTGTTTCTGTTGACATACGATGTACAGTGGACGCTCGGGTTGCGAACATGATCTGTGCGGGAAGCACGTTCGCAACCCGCAGCGTCCACAACCTGCAGCGCCGTGTCTGCACATGCACGGGTTGTGATTCAGCGCTTCTGCACATGCGCAGACCTGAAATTGCGCAACCCGACGCGTCTGTAACCCAAGGTATGACTGTAGTGATGATGGAAGGGGGGAGAGAGGTTTTCCCCATGTGGGGAGGAAGGAACATGCAGCAGAGAACTGCTCTTTTTTGTTCAGTACAGAGGTTTTCAACCATTTTGAGTCCACGGCTTCCTCCCTACATTCTTTCTGCGGCACCCCTGTGGGGCTCAGGAGCCCAGTTGTGTCACCCCCGCCTGCCGAGCTGGCAGCCTTTTTCAAACACCCTCCCTTGTGGGATGCTCCCTCAGCCCCCTCTCCTTGGGAGCCCTCTGAGCAGTCGCTGCAGGGCCCCCCCCCCCCCGGTCTCTGAGCCGCTTCAGCTCCTGGCAACCGGCACCCCCTGGCCAGCCCCAGAGGCAGCAGTAGCCAGGGCTGCTGTTTAAAGACTATTTAGTTAAATTAACTTAACTTAACTGGAAAGCTTGCAAATACCAGATAGCCTTAGGATTAAAATATGCAATGTGACAAATTAATATGTTTAAAGTTGAATTGTAAAGAAAGAAAGATGTTAAGTGTTTGTCTGTCTTAAAATTTTTTTTATGGAAAATTAATTTTAAAAAATGGGGGGGAAAGTAGCCAGGGCTTCTGCAGCAAACAGCTGTGCAAGCCTTTAGGAGCCAGAGATGTGAGAGGGCAGCAGAGGAGGGAGGGAAGGAAAGAGGGACATTGACCAGTGTTGCCCATGGCACCCCTGACCATCATTCAAGGCAGCCCAGGGTGTCATGGCACACTGGTTGAAAACCACTGGTTTAGTAGATTTCTATCCCACTTTCCAACTGGAGTTGTCAAAACAACCAACAACAGCAAAGCGGATACACCAAGAACCACATGCTCACGAAATAAAACAGGCCTAGAAAGGTTGCCGACCCCTGCTGTAAGGTAATCAATGTACACGTCCCAGCTTAGTTTGTTAAAAGGCAGCCCTTTCCCGTGTCAGAGCTCTTAGATCTAAGTTTAAAATAAACGCTAACTTCCACGACCCGATAAAGCTCTGAAGAGAAAAACTACCCTGGGAAAATATTTCCTGCTTCGTTTTCATAAATATTTATGCAATTCCTTCTGGTGCACCCGTTTCGCCTTGAGAAAAGTGAACACACGTCTTCCTGTCGCAGAGTTAACTGTTTAGATTTGAAGCGATTTGCTTAGGCTGAGGGGAGATTTAGGGGCAAATGCTAATGCCCACCTTGAACAGGTTCAGAAATTTTGCGATGGTGCTGGAAGGCTGTTGCGTGTGAGGGAATCTAATAATAAACGTGTGTTAGTTATTCATGTTCACATTTTTATCCCCTTCTTTTTCAGTTTATGATAGATAGGTAACAGTGCAAGAAATACAAAGACAGCGTAAACATTAAAGGGGAAATCCTCTGGGAAGACCTGTCAGAATCAGCAGCTTACAGTGCAGAGGATCTCCAGCTCAGATGGCCGATTCCCAGATTCACCAGCTTGGGTCCTGCTTGTGGGCTTCCCAGGGGTATCTGGTTGGCCACTGTGAGAACAGGATGCTGGACTAGATAGACCTTTCGGCCTGATCCAGAAGGGAGCGTCTTTTTATGTTCTCATACCCCCGAGAGCCGAAGAATTGATGCTTTTGAATTATGGTGCTGGAGGAGACTCTTGAGAGTCCCATGGACTGAAAGAAGATCAAACCTATCCATTCTGAAGGAAATCAGCCCTGAGTGCTCACTGGAAGGACAGATCGTGAAGCTGAGGCTCCAATACTTTGGCCACCTCATGAGAAGAGAAAATTCTCTGGAAAAGACCCTGATGGGAGGCACAAGGAGGGCACAAGGAGGGCACATGGAGGGCACAAGGAGAAGGGGACGACAGAAGACGAGATGGTTGGACAGTGTTCTTGAAGCTACCAGCATGAGTTTCCACTGTGGGAGGCAGTGGAAGGCAGGAGTGCCTGGCGTGCTCTGGTCCATGGGGTCACGAAGAGTCGGACACGACTAAACGACTAAACAACAACAACCCCCGAGAGCAGCCACTTTCTTTTGTGCCATGGCCCATTGCATCCATTTTGTGACTGGCACCCACTTCACTTAATTTGTAAAATCAAATTAAACAAGACTAACAGGATCAGCTGCCCGAGGCAGACACCTCACTCTGTCTAATGGTGGGGCCAGCTCAGTTGCTGCAGTTTACCTGGCCACCATTGGGCTAGGTTGTCTGATGCAGCAAAGCAGTTCTTACTTTCTTATTTACCAGATCAGAGAGATTGGCAGGCTAGCGAGTGAACCTTAAGCAAATACAGTGGTACCTCCGGTTAAGTACTTAATTCGTTCTGGAGGTCCGTTCTTAACCTGAAACTGTTCTTAACCTGAGGTACCAATTTAGCTAATGGGGCCTCCCGCTGCTGCCGGAGCACTATTTCTGTTCTCATCCTGAAGCAAAGTTCTTAACCCAAGGTACTATTTCTGGGTTAGCGGAGTCTGTAACCTGAAGCGTATGTAACCTGAAGCGTATGTAACCCAAGGTACCACCATACCAAGTTCCATTGGAGGACCACTGAGCAAAACATTTTGGAAATGCCCATGTAGTACAGAGGTTAGCAGAAGGTAGGTATGAATCTAATGGTAGATCTTTGGGTGACTTTTTTTGGGGGGGGGAGTCTTTTCCACCTGGCTCTGGCTGGTGGATCTAGTTGGATTAAAAAACCCAAAATGTATCCCACAAGCCTGAAATCTGTCCACCCTTGATATAGCAGATGTAACTTCAAAATGTTTCCTTAAGGGTCAAATTAATATTAGATACAACAGCAGATCACAGGAGAAGCTCAGAGCTAAATCTGTTTTCCAGCTATGTATCACAAGCCAAGATTTCGTTAGGTCCCACAGGGACAGTAATTTTCCTTCCACTGGAAACCCAAGAGGAGCATGTGTTCAAAATCAAATGAAGGAAAGCTCCATTTGATGTATAGCTGGGGTGAAAATCCAGATGTTGTTGGACTACAACTCCCCTAATGTTAGACCATTGGCTTTGTTGGCTGTGGATGATGGGAATTGGGAATTCAACAACATCTGGAGCACCACAGTCTCTTGCTATCAGGCCATAGGGCAAGTGGAGCCCTTTTCATAAGTAGTTCCACTTATAAGTATGTCCTTCAGCCTGCCAGTTGATGCAGCAAGCTGGGACGCCTGCAAGTAATTTCTCTGCTGCTGTTTTGTGTGCCTTAACTAGCAGGCGGCCCTCAGGTGCACTGTGGGATGCCATCCCATTCAAGTAAATTTCAAGTGCTAGTCCAGTCAGCTTCTACTCATGGAGGAGGGCGGGTGGGGTACAATCTTGCCCTTTGGGGTACATGCGAGTAAGGTGTGAGGGGGCCTACACACCACCATACATTTAAAGCACATGACGAAGAACCATGGGAAATGTATTTTCTCTGTCACAGAGCT